GGGTAGCTGTTGTCTGTAGGTAGCTGCCTGTTCTTACCAGTAAATTCCAAGAACCAAATCCTATCCGGCGGTGATTGTAACTCTGCCAGGTGACAGCCCCTAACTTTTCCAGCCATTAATTGTTTCTAAATCAGCAGGACAGGGAGCAAAATGATCACCTCAGGTAAGACTTCTCTACCCTTTTAATGACCAGGCTCAGAAAGGAGTACACACTGTCATGAGCCCCTGGAATTAATCCCCTAGAAATATTCATGCTAAATGTATTGATAGAGGAGATGAAATCTGAGCATTTGCTAATTGATAGAGACACAAATCTATAAATGAGCAGAACTTCCTGTTGCGTCAGTAATGCAATCCAATATAAAGGTACTGATTGGTTGGTATGCTCCTTTTTCCATTTTCAGTCCCACAGCATCCCCTTGTGGAGGTCATTTTAATAGCATAATAACCCAGGAATTATTTGCAAATATTAATGCTAAAACATTTTTCCCAGTGATTTATTTCCATGCCTTTTCATATGATTTCACATGTCTCTATGCCTACCTTCAAAGTAGGAAGTATAATTATTTTCAGAAACTTAATTCTCATATTTGGAAAGTACCTATATCTATTTCCTGCGTTTTTATTATATATGTTGCTAAATAGAATCAACTGTTGGAACATTTGTTTCTCACCTGTTTCTTCAGTGAGCATTTTTATCTTAGTTCTCAAATAATAAGATTGTGTTTCTAGTATTGAGTGCATTCTCCTTTGTTTGATGTGAGTTCTTCTGAATTGTCTGTCCATGCTGCTTATGAGATAACTTTCTTTAATCATTAGCTCTGCAGGTAAGCAATAGAATTTTAAAACTAGAAGAGATCTTAGGAATCATCTAGTCCCATTTCAGGTTTTTGAGTCTCTGTCCCAGCCTGTGGACATGGAACACTACTGCAGGTGCCTGACGGGGTGATTATGTCAGTTAGCGTCACTAAACTATATCTCCTCTTCCTTTTTGTTCTCTTGCTAGAAGATGAACTAAGTGCTTAAATCATTCAATACGGGTATGAATAGAATTTGAGCTGAGAATTTGAATCTCTTTCCATAATGCTGTCCTTTGCCATGAATAGAGCATATTCATTTCATCCCAGAACACAGACTAACCATATCTTCTTATTTGAAACCACTTCTGATAAAGATAGAAGACTTTATATAACCAAACAACCCTAAGAATAGAAGTATTCACAAAAGCACACTTTTTCACAGAGAGGCAATGTGGCCTAGTGGAAAGAGTTCTAGATTTGGAGTCAAAGGACATGAGTTCAAATCCCACCTAATGCCTCTGTGTTCCTGAACAAGGCACTTAATATCGCTGTACCTCAATTTTCTTATCACTGTGAGAAGTATGAATTCAAGAATCTCTCAGATCCCTTCCAAAACTGTACCTGTTATCCTACAGAATTCCCTATGTATGCTTTTGATTAATTAATTAATTTCTCCTTTAGCACCTTTGTGCCCTGGAGCCTAAAGTCAAAGAAAGGAGGAGGATGAGGTAGGTGCTAGGGGGCACCATAGTGCATAGAGCGCTGGGCCCAGAGTCAGGAAGACTCATCTTCCCAAGTTCAAATCTGACCTCGGATGCTTACTTGCTGTGTGACCCTGGGCAAGTCACTTCACCCTGTTTGCCTCAGTTTCCTCATCTGTAAAATGAGCAGGAAAAGGAAATGGCAAACTGCTGCAAGATCTTTGCCAAGAAAACCCCAGATGGGGTCATGAACAGTCAGACATGACCGAACCTACTGAACAAGAACAATCACAATAAATGCCATAGAGGGAGAAGGAGATTTGGAGTCAGAGGACTTGAGACAGGTTATTCTCAAATGTCCATGTGACCTTGGAAGTTGCTTGACTCAGCTGGGCCTTAGGTTCTTATCTTTTAAATGAGGAAGTTGGATTTGATGGTTTCTGAGGTCCTTTATAGATCCTCTACAGAGCCTAATGATGCTGTACAATAACAAGGAAGGGGCCATTTTTATTTCTGTTCCTCCTGTGTTAGTAGCAATAAAAAACTTCAACGGGACTTTGTACTTATTCAGAGACAGAAATTTAGGAGAGACATTGAGAGAATGCGTTCTGTTTCATGGCATGCTAAAGAAGGAAACTGGTCAGAAGCAAGAGGGGTAGCTAGGTAGTCCAATCTCTGGAGCCTGTGAAAGAAAAGTAAGAACCAAGAACTGCCACTGGGCATTTCTATCAACAGGATATTAAACCCACCACCACCACCACCTCTGCCTGTCCCTACTAGACAGAGCCCCTTCCCTGCTATACTACCCATTAGAGCTAAGTGTGATTGTTTCAAACTGCCTGGCTAGTGGGTGAAATGTGGGGAGAAAATTTTTTCAATTCTTCAGCATGGGGGTGGAAGGGAAAGAATGTGCATCTAGAACCCCAGGTTGGGACTAGGACACATTTCCTATGAAAGCAATGATATGTAGTGAGAGAGGGAGGGGAGGAGTGAAAAGAGAGCTAATTTTGGAGTGAGGAAATGCTGCCTGAGACCACTGAAGAGCTGGATGACCCTAAGCAAGTGACTGAAAGCCTCAGCTTCAATTCCCATATATCAGATCAGAGCAGTAATACTTGGACGAGCATTGTATGTGAAAGAGTTGTTGTGAAGAAAGGACTTTGCATATCTTACACTGATATAAAGGCATGTCATTATATGTATAGACGTGTATGTGACATGATTAAGGTACATTATGGACTAAATAGGATTTTGTGGGCTAGACTGAGACAGACCATTGGTCTTAATCTAGTACTACAAGAAAACTGGTTCTAGTTCCAAACCATCTGTTTACAAGCTTTCAGACCTGTAACCTATTGGGGTCTAATTAAAATTTCAAATTATGAAAGACAAAGGTATTAACTTAAAAGCTGCATTTGAAATAACCAAAACTTACTTCCCTAAGCTCTGTTCGTATCTTATCTCATTTAACTTACTTTCCTTTTCATAACAGATTTCATTCATGTTAGAAAGATAAAAATTTCCTCTTTTAGCTCTAATTCAGGCCACTGGTAGTTCACACTGGTCTCATAAATAGTTCATTCATTTGCTTTTGCAATGGTCATACGTTTAGTGAGAGAGAGCTGACTCCAGACTGAGGAAGGCCTGAGTTTAGGTCTCGTTTGTGATGGTCACAGGCTCTGTGACCATGACCATGTCTTGGTCAGCCCCCTGAGGCTCCACGGTTCAGAACAGCCGCTGGTCTGCATTGACACAGGGAGCTTCCTCCCTGGAGTTCCCTAAAGTGATGTAATCACAGGTCTAAATTGTCAGATGTTTGAGCATGACCCCTTCTGGCATGAATATGCCAGTGTTTTTTATTTAAGTGACATCATTGTTTCATCCATATTATTTGCTAAGCTAAGCTAATTGTGATGAGCAGTAACTTTTTTTGGTATAATTTTTTGAGTGGGGCAGTTCATCAACAGGAGCCCTGTACTACCTGAGCAGTGATTTCTTTCCTCTTTCCCCTCCCTGCTAAAGCTTTAAAAAACAAAACAAAACAAAACACAACTGCTACTCTGGGACCCTTTCTAGGGCATCTGATCCTTCTGAAGCTAAAGCGGTGAGCATGCACAGCACGAATCTCATCTTCCCATCCAGAACAATGATATTTACTGAGGACTCAGCTCTTGAAGTATTTGTTCCTAGTGATTTCTCTGATAATAGTTTTAAAGCTGTATTTTTTCAAACCAAGACTTGCAACTCCCTGAGGATAATACAAACTAGGAAGTTGAACAGGGAGGGCCTTAAAACTTTATTAGCATCATTTTCTTCTGTTAATCTGTGCTGCTTTCTGCACCACCTTTTGGATGAAGAGATAAAGCCTGTCCATTGCCTCTGTCTGTCTTTTTTAATCAGCTCATCTTATTATCAATTTTTCTAAAATATGGAAAACTGTGGTGATAGGATTAAAAAGTTTGAAGAGGCATAACTACTAAATTTTTATGTTTGATGCCAAAAAGCATCTCCTGATTCCCATGTAAGTCTTAGATTCCTTAGGTGTTCGTAGCACTTTTTTGCTTTGACTTTATGTTAGGTGGTTCCTAAAAAGCTATTTACAAATTAGATATTTTGTGTGTAGACTTATGTTTTCATAATGGCTATTTTACCCTGAAGCCTTTTGTTAAGCAAAAGTCTCTTTTAAAACAAGTATCTTCTTAATTTATCTTTTGTATAAATCAAGATTTTTCCCAGATTGGGGTTGCTTAAAGTGTACTATATCAATTATTTGTAAATAAAGTCTGCTCTTTTAGAAATTAGGTTGGCAAAGATGGTTCTTATTTATTATGCACTGAATTTTAGAAGTATGTTGCCTTTCAGTCTCTTTTCTGGAGCTACTAACTGATTAAATTCTTTGAGACCCTGACCTTTGTACCTAACCAAAGACTTTCCTTTGTTTTCCTAAACGAAAAACTTCTTTACTCCCATTTATATATTAGAGACCAAAACTAGTATTAAAAAAAAAAGTCTCCTAATTAGCATAATAAAAGTGATATTTTCTAATCCCAAAGACAAATTTTTTAAAAAGAATTAATTTTGTACTCTTTACTTTAGGTACTTACTCCAGCCAAGAGACAATGGAAATAAGTCCTCAAAAACTGATGACCTGGGGTCACTTAGATTATACATATGCTACACAGAAGACTATGTGCTTCCTTCAGAGTACTATGGTCCTTTGAGAAGTTTGCTGCTAAAATCCCCAGATGTTCAGGTACGTTAATTAAACTTCTTTTTTTTAGTTAAAGTATTGAAAAAATAGCCAACAAATATTGAATAAATTATCTGAATCACATAAAGTATATTCAAATACAGTATTGACCTAAAAATAGGCTGCATTTTCCCCAAACTCAGACTCATACAAAATCTATAAAGATGACAAACCTGAAGAGAGCAGTGATGAGAAACAATTAACATAGCATCTTTATTTGAATGGGGGGGAAGGGCTGACAAATTATTTTTAAAACGTAATTGTATGTCATTCTTTTTCAGCTGATACATAAGTATTTTTAGCACTATAGCCAATCTTTATACCATGAGTTATATAATTTTAAAAGTGCCAAAACATATAGAATGTACAACACCTGAGAACCTTCATTTCCAGGAAGGGATGTGTTGGGCATGTCCTATCCTGGCTCTTCTTTTGAGTCCTGCTTGATCTTTATGTTATATTCACTTTTGATTGGGGGTGGGGGGGGGTCTTTCCATTTATCTTGTCATAGTAACTGTATTGTCTTCTTGACTCTGCTTACTTCACTCTGCATCAGTTCATGTAGATCTTTCCATGCTTCTTTATTCATTACGTATCATTTCTTACAACACAGCACTATTCCGTTACATTCACAGACCACATGTTTGATGGACATCAGCTTTATATCCAGGTGTTTGCTAACACACAGCATGCTGCTATAAATAATTTGGTGTATATGGGGACTGTTGCAGGATGGTTTTTTTGAGGAATAAGCCCAGTAATAGATTTTCTAGTTCAAAGGCTATGAACACTTTAGACACTTTTTTTGCATGATTCCAAATTGCTTTCCAAAATGGTTGTACTGTTTCACAGCTCCACCAATAGCGTATTAGTGTGTCCTTCCAACAGTGACTGTTGCCATTTTTTGTCATCTTTGGCAGTTTGCAGAGTGCAAGTTGAAACCTCAGAGTTGTTTTGATTTAGATTTCTTCATATTATTAGTGATTTGGAGCATTCTTTCATGAGGTTGTGAATATTTTCCAAGTTCTTTTAAAAACGGTTCATATTCTTTGACTATGTATCTGTTAGGGGAAGGCTATTAGTCTTATCTGTGTTAGATTTTTTTTTCCCTATCCAACTATTTATCTTCTTATCCTTGATACGTTAATGTTATCTGTACAGAGTATATCTCCTACCCATAACTGTGAGAGGCATATGATCTGCTTCTCTTCTAATTTTTTTGGAGTATGCTCTTTAATACTTAAAGTGTCATTTAGATTGTATTGCAGAATACAGTGTAAGGTGTTAGTCTAAGCCTAATTTTGGCCAGACTGCTTTTCACTTTTCTCAGCAGTTTTTATCAAATGGAAGTTTTTCTTAAATTTATGTTATCAAACACAGGGTTATTGAGTTCCACTGTTTATGATTTGTCTAGTGTTCCATTCATCTGTCACTCTCTCTCTTCTTTTACCAGTATCAGCTAGTTTTGAGGACTGCTGCTTAATAGTCTAGTTTAAGTTTCTACACTATGCTATTCCCCCCTTTATTCTCTGCCTTTTTTCATAATTTTCTTTGATATTCTAGATTTTTTTTGTTTTTCCAAACGAACTTTGTTTATATTTTATCATGTTATATAAACTATCCCTTTGGTGATGTGATTGATATAGCATTGAAGAGGTAAATTAACTTTGATAGTATTGTCATTTTTAGTATATTGGCACAGCCTCACCATGAGCAGTGAATATTCCTCCATCTGTTTTAAGTTCTTCTCTATTTCTTTAAGGAACCTTTTGTATTTGAATCTTTACAGATCTTTTATGTGCTTTGGTAGATCAATCCCTAGATATTTTATGCATTTTGGAATTATTTGGAACGCAGTTTCCATATCTATTTTTGCTACTTCTGATTTTATTATTATATAGACATACAACTGAGTTTTGAGGGTTTGTTTTCCTTTTTTTTTTAACTGTATTTATGATTGTTGTTTTCACTGTGCTCTGTTCTAGCCTATCTCTTCCTCAGCTGCTTACATTTTGGGTGAAGTTTGTCGAGATAAATACGATGCTGTTTTGCCTCTCGTGCGACTGCTGCTGCACCACAATAAGTTTGTTCCTTTTGCCACTGCAGTGGCTGAATTGGACTTGAAGGATACTCAGTAAGTGCTTAACTTTTTTAGATATTAATAAACTATTAATTATCAACATTCTTGAACCTGGCAGTCTACCCTTTCACAAAGTTATTCTCTTTGGTTTGCTCTGATGTAGTTGACACCTATAGAAAGTTACAAAAAAAATTACTCAAAGTCAACTTTTTTGTAATTCAATTGCTATTATATTGACTAAGCTTTAGGCTTATTTTATAAAGGAAAAAAAGTGCCTTCACATATTTTCACAAAAACTAATAACCTTTCTTAGAGTTCATACAATTACCTTTTTCCACCACTAAATCTTAACAAATTCACTTGTAAAATCCACCTTTTTTATTGTTCTCTAATACTTAAATATTAGTATAATATCTTAATGTTTGGTTGCGTTGACTTTTTTTAATGCTATTCATTTACATTTTGGAAAAAGTATAAGAAGCACCTACCATAAAGTTGTGCTTCAATGCTTCATCATTATTCAGTTAACAGACATTTCTTAAACTCCTGCTTTGTGACAGGCATTGTGCTCTGTCAAAAGGAAGCTTAGGGAGCTTACATTGTCTCAATGGGAACAATATGTACATAAATAAGTATGTCCAAAATAAATACAAGACAGTTTGCATGGAGCGTGGTCAGCTTCAGAGCCGAGAATTGGAAAAGGCTTCGTATAGAAGGTAGTGTTTGAACAGAGTCTTGAAGGGCGTGAGACTCTGAGAGGAAGAGGTGAAGACAGAGTGCCTTTCCAGCAGGGGGAACAACCAATACAAAGGCACAGAGATGAGAAATTGCACGGCATGTATTTTTAGAACAGCAAGAAAGATTTAGACCAGATGGTGAAGGGCTTTAAATGCCACAGACGGTCAGTATTCAGTACTTGATCCTCATGGCAATAGGGAGCCACTAGATTTTATTGAGTAGGGGAGGTGACATGGTCAGACCTGCTTTGTGGGGGGTGGATTGGAGTGGGGAGGGATCTAAGGCCGGGAGACAATCCACTTGAGAGGTGATGAGGACCTGAGCTAGATAGGTGGCCGTTTGAATAGAGGGAAGAGTTGAGTGTGGGCAGGGTTGTGGAGGTAGAAATGACATTTGGCAATTGAGTGGATATGTGGAGTGAATGAAAGGGAAGAATCAAGAAAAATATCCAGGTTGTAAACCTGGGAGACTGGGAAAATGGTTCTTAAAGGTTTCATAGTAAATGCTTAGCACATGCTTCTTGATTGATTCATTCATTGATTACGCCATGGTAACACAAGCTTTAGTGAATCCTACTAAATTGGCAAGGGCTCAAGTTTGGGTGGGCTTGGTAACAAACTGCTTGACTTCAGGATGATAAATTTTCAACAAGAGCAACCCTCAAAAGCATTCTATAAAAACTGTAAAAGGTTTGCATTCTGTGTCTATAGAAAGTTATAGATACACCCACAATAACAAAATCACAGATCCTTAAAACATTAAGAACCTAAACGTAATGTTTTTATTCTTTTGGTATAACTTTTACAAATTGGGTATACCTTGTTTAAATATTCAGCATCTGCCAACATAGATAATTTGTTTACTAAAGTTGATATTAACTTGGAAACATTTTTATTCCAGAGATGCAAACACAATTTTTAGAGGAAATTCCTTGGCTACTCGATGTCTGGATGAGATGATGAAAATAGTGGGAAGGCACTACCTGAAAGTGACATTAAAACCTATCTTAGATGAGGTATTGTGGCTACTACCAATCACTGTACTTTGTGAACTTCAAGAATCTCTTGATTAAGTGACATGTTGACCAAAGAGGAGTTATCCAAAGAGCTAAACTGACCAGTATGTTATTTAAACTAAAAAAATTAATGCAATCAGATTGAAATAAGGGGATAATGTAGAGAATAATAAGGGGAACCTTTATTTCATAAGCTTTATAAAGCCAAATCCACCAGTATACTATTTAAACTAAAGAAGCTATCCAGAAAGCTAAATTCATCAGTATCTTATTTAAACCCCCACAACAGTTCTGTTCTGATGCTTCTTGATGGCGGGTGAGTGACACTTGCTTGGGTTCTTGACAGTGGGACCAACAGAACATTTTTTTATCTAGCACATCCTTCCAGAGCCGTGGGTTCTTAGAGCTGGAAGGTATCTCAGAGGCCTGTCCAGGAATCGCCTCTACAACATCCCCAACGAGGAGTCCTCCATCCTTCATTTAAGCATCTCAGAAGGAGAAGTCGGGTCCCTTCTTCTATAATTCTGATCACTGAGGAATTCAGTCTTACACAGAGACAAAATTGCCCTCCCTGAAGCATCTCTGCATTGCTTCTCGTTCTGCCATTTGGAACAAAACAGAATGAGCCTAGTTTTACTTCTACATGAGAGTCCTTTAAATGTTTTAAAGACTGCTGGAAAGGTTTGAATATAGGTCCAGCACCTGACTGGGTTTGTCCTTTGAGGGTATTTAATTCAACCCCTTCGTTTTATATATCAGGAACTAGGCCTAGCTAGTAGGTAGCAGAACTGGGATTGGAATCCAGGCCCTCCAACACCAAATCTAGTGCAGTCTCCATATCTCATCAGTCTAAGTAAGTTTGAAGAGGACTGTCATTAAGGATTGGCCATTGGGTGGTGAATTTTTTTGGCTATAACAGATTATGTTATGCCAAGGTATAGAGAAATTGTGATCTGTGTCATTAGATAGTGTCCTCACACTGAGGAGACCACTGATCTTTTGAAGGACTACTCTTGGGAAATGTCTTGGCATTTCTTTCTAGTTTTCTTCAGTAAATTATTGTATTTTGGAGCCTTTTTATGTTCAAACTTATGCTTCTTATGACATCTCTTTTTCTAAATATTCTGGGAATTTATTTTTGCATAGTTCTCTGGAAATGTAGGAAGAGAATAAAGTAACTCAAAGCAATTTTCTTTTCAGATATGTGAATCCTCAAAATCCTGTGAAATTGATCCTCTCAGATTGAAAGAAGGGGATAATGTAGAAAGTAATAAGGTGAACCTTTATTTCATAAGCCTCTATAAAGCTGTATTTAAAGCTGAATCCATTTCCCAGCTACATAATTATAATGATAGAGTAAGGGAAGTTTATCTTATATTTTCATTAACATTATTAATAGTAATATTTCTCATGGTTAACTTTTTTTCCTTAAAAATTTTTATTTCAATTCCTAGTTTCTTCTTTTAAATTTTAGTATCAATAGTACTAAATTGAGGCTGTGATTGTATTCAGAGTTTGTAGTCAGTGAACAACACATACTCGAGGATGATTTGAAGAACTTCATTTCTCATTTGCTAATTCTGCCAACAGCTTGTTAAAACGGATTTATTCATGACCAAAGCTATAGTTTGAAGAGCGTACATACATGCACCGATTCTGTCCCTAGCTTACCTTTGAGACACTTTAGCTCCACTTCTTTCACACCAGCTTTGGTCCATGTATTTTTGCTTCACTGTTTGGCCTTTTAACTCCTTGAAATAGCTCATGAGCTAAGTCATTTTCTAACTGAATAAATTTACAAAATGCAAATGAACTTTTGGCAGTATTTTACAGCTATTAAGCTCTCTATTTCTCAGATATAGTCATCCTCCTGAATAGTTTATTCCAAAAATTCCTATATATGGTCAAGAAAGTAGACTACATGAAAGAATTAAACTATACACAAGTCTCTGTAGTTATATAGTAACAGCTGATAACAACTTAATCTACAGCAGCTAGGAGGTTGTCAGTCATTTAAGAATTACTAAGAATTTCTGTGCTAGCAGAATTTTTAAGATTAAGTATTCTTAATACCGTCCAGTAGTTTTGTAATAACGATGTTTTGTATTGCATTTGTCATGTTCAAGCAAAATGTAAGGAAAAAACCTTGTTGAAGTTACCTAATACTTAAAAGTGTTATTTTACTCTTATAGGAGAATCTGCGTTACTATGTGGAAAAATTATTCAGTATGATTATACAGTCCAATATGAGCTGTCCCACTGTCATGTGTGACGTGTTCTATTCGCTGAGACATATGGCTGCTCAAAGATTTCCTAGTAAGTGCATCTATGGCCGCATCTTTTAGTTTTGTCTTTGTCAGGCATTCACATCGCATTCCATGCATGGTGTTTAACTTTAAAGGGTCCTAGGCCCAGGTCCTGCCTCAGACACATAATAGCCAGGGGCCTGGCACAAGTCTCTTTACCACACGAGGTCTCTGTATTTTCAGAAGGATGCCACTCAGCATTAGTAGAAGGAGGGTCATCACTTGGAGTTACTGATACCAGCAAAATCATAGGTCAGTCTGAAAAAACAGTGAGTTAAGGTGCCGCAGGTACAATTGTCTGGGTGTTTGATTTGCAAATAGTTCCACCTTATGAGAAAAACAATATATAGTCTTCTTTTAAATTCAAAGCCACATTATCAGTTTTGTTTCATGACAGCTTTAAGAAGTAGTCTTTGTCAGACTGTCTAGACACAGCTTCAGATGAGGAGCAGGTGGAAACTACCAAAAGATAACTACGAAATGTGTCCCTGGCAAAGAAGGAAAATGTATTAATGGTTACACTTCTGCGAACTATTGATGAGTCTGGAGAATAGAACTGATGAGAATTTCTTACAGAATCTATATTTACCACCCTTTTTTCCCCTTTATACTTTATTCGAGTCAATGGGAGTTGGGCTTTTCCCAGGAATATCTAGTTGAGAAACAGTCACACATTGTGTCCTTAGTGCTTTAGTGTTTTTAAGTCCATTTAGAGGGTAAAAGCTTTATATTTTTTTTGTCATTTTGGATTTCCTTGTAACATTTCCCTCTCTCTACCTCCTGGCTTCTCTCAAGTCTCAGCTAAAGTCCCACCCCAGTTTGTCCTGTAGAGATCTCATTTGTACTCTAGATGTTAGCTTGTTGTTTCCCCCATTAGACCATGAGCTCTTGGAGAACCAGAACTGTTTTTTTGCCTTTCTTTGTATCCCCAGCATTTAGCACAATGTCTGACACATAATCTGTGCTTAATAAGTACCCATTAGCTAACGTTGTGCTTCTATACAGTACTGAAATATCTTAAGTAATTCCTGTCTCCTTAGGTAATTAGTCAGTCGGGCACTGAGGATACAGATACAATGAATAAAACAATCCCTACATAGAATTTGAAAGTTGGAAGAGGCCATCTGTCATTTCCCTGTCTCATAAATTTGTAAATCATTGATCAGCTGAAGTTATGACTTGTCTAGCATTGTCATTTCCAGAAGGATCCTGGAGTTAACTGTACCTATATGTGGTCCTACATGTACTTTTCTCTGTCTTCTAGTAGCCAAGGTTTTGTTTTTGTTTTTCTGATCACCTCAAAATGCTCCACTAAAAAAAAAGATGTCTCCTAAGTCTAGTGCCAGCAGATTTTGATGATTTCTTCTCCCATTCACCCAGGATAGCTATCTGCTCTGAGTCAAAACTTAGTTCATCTTTTTCTGATTAATTTTTTTTTTAAGGTAGTGTTTTTTGTATTAAGAAATACCTCAGCCCTGGATTCAGGAGGACCTCAGTTCAAATCCGGCCTCAGACGCATAATACTTACTAGCTGTGTGACCCTGGGCCAGTCACTTAACCCCATTGCCTAGCCAAAAAAAAAAAAAAAGAAAAGAAATACCTCATTGGCTTTTTAATTTCAGCAGAGAACTCTAATCATACTTTACATTTTGAAATAAACTTTATATATTAAGAGTAGCAGCTACTTCCTGGAGGTTTTGCTTCAAAAAGTTTAGTAATGTCAAAATTCAGTGTAGCTCCCTAATTATAGCACATGGTATTATTATAGTTTCAGTATTGCAGTTGAATTGATAAAGTTGCTTTTATGTATCTACCTGTTCTGGCAGAAATGTCTACTTAAAAATTAGCATACATAGCCAGTATAGATGGCCATAGCTGTTTATACCTGTTGGTACATGTATATGTATATTTCTACAACCAGCTATGGGAAAGCTTTGCTATCCTAACCGATCATAATTTTTCAAGGGCACGTGCATGTGAATAGCCATAGAAAGATACCCAAGTAGATATTAGTCTTTCTTTTGAATTTTATGTTAAATACCTAGGCCCTAAGGTTCAAGATCCTGTCAGCCAGGTTGGTAAGGTTAGACCCGCACCAACTGGAGAACTTTATTATCTGGCATAGTTGAGTTCTAGGATTGCCACTAGGTCGTGCTAGATGCTGCTTATCTTTTCTGTCACATTTCTAGAGTCCACTTCTGCTGTTGAAACATGAGCTATTTCTCCCACTGACATAGGCCTGGAGCCTTTCACCAGCTTGGCGTTTTCATTTTCCTCATTTCATTTCCCTGTGCAGCATTCGGTTGGATGGTTCTCCGCCTACTTTAAGTAATTCTCTTTTTGTTTCCTTAAGCCGACCTTGGCAGTCATCCTTGTCCCTTCACCTGCTCTTGATCCACATTTGGGGAGGCAGTTCACTGCATGATTGTGGTGGATGTTTTTATTTTGCCCTCTCTGTTACGTGCTCGTGGTTGGCCCTCATGACTGTCCCATGTCCCCATTTTTCTCTGCAGATGACCCTCACGTACAGTATTCTGCCGTCAGCAGCTTTGTATTTCTTCGTTTCTTTGCTGTAGCCGTAGTGTCACCTCATACTTTTCATTTACGACCTCACCATCCAGTAAGTGTTTCTTCTGTTCAAACTTTACTCCTTTTGTACTCGCATTCATTAGAGTGAAGAAAGACAGATAATAGTGAACTAATTTCTTTGGTTATATTCTGTGACAAGTCATTATTTTAATATTTGCTATACCTTTTTAAGCTATTCAGTAAAAAGCTGGCAATTTTTTCTTTCATTTATAGATATTCTTAAGGAAATAGGACCTAAAACCATTGAAAGTCTTGGAATTTTCTTGTTATGGATAATGCTTAAATATGTTAAGCATTACATCTGCATTTTAATTAGTTTTTAATTTTTCTGTCACTTTTTTTATCACAATATTGAATTCTAAGGATTTCACCTCAAGTGAATAAATGCAAAAATATGATAAAAAAATGAACAGGTTATATACAAATAAGGCCTTTTCTAAACCATAAGGAATTAGCTCCTTTACTTTTTAAAAAATTGTATGGTTTTTTTTGTCTGATATAATGTTAACACCACGTTTAATTACCTAAAACTATAATGTCAGAGCTACCATATGATCTAAATAATATTTAACTCCCTCATACCTAATTTCCATTTACATTAGCTTTTGTGTGTTTTTATTCCTTGCATAATACAGCCTACTTCTGCTCTTTGCTAATTTACATGTAATTTACTTTAATCCAATAGATTTATTTTATACCTTCATTAAGGTGTTAGCTTCTGGGGTTACACAAGTGAAAAATGAAAGACTGTCTCCAAAGAGCTTACAGTATTAGTAGGATAAGACATATGCACCGAAAAATATAAGACAAGTTAAAAAAAAAAAGTAATTGGGATGGAGGGGAAGGGGAGATTCAAAATGGTATAAGAAAATTTGATGGGAGACAGATCAGTTTCACTGGGACATCAGAAAAGACTTCATGGTGGAATTGGTACTTGGACTGGGCTTTGAAGGAAGAGGAATGTACCTGTAGACAGAAGTGAAGGTAATGTGTTCCAGACAATATGGACAGCCTACATGAGGCAGTAGAGAACAAGATAAATTGAGGAATAGCTAGTTGTTCGTTAAAGTCACGTGCATGAAGATGAGCAGCATGAAATACTGCTGCAAAAGTAGATCAAACCTAGGTTCTAGAAGGCCTTGACTGCCAATCTGAGGACTTTGTATTTTATTTTATACACAATGACAAACCGTGGAAGGTTTTTTTAGTTAAAAGAATGATAGACTGAGGCTTCTCTATTAGGAACATAGGTAGTTTTATACCTGTATGAGGGGTAGATTACAGAGAGAAGATACTGTAGGCAAGGAGAGCATTTAGAAGGCCATTGTAATGATCTCGGCAAGAGTTGTTTGAGCTCATCTAGGGTGGTAACAACATGAATGAAGAGGAGGGGATAGAGGTACAAAATATTATGAGGATGGAATAGATAGATGTGTCAGCTGATTGGACATAGAGTGGGTGATTGGCATTGGGGAGAAGAAAGAGCTTAAAACGCTGCCAGTATTTCTCTTAATGCCTTCAGCAGAAATAGGAAGTTAGGAATAAGACAGGTTTTTTGAGGAAAATATTCATCTTTGGACATTTTAAGTTTGAGGAACTGGACAGGAGCCATCCCACAAGGCAATTTCTAACAAGAATTCACAGGAAAAATTAAGGCTGGATCAAGAGGTTTTGGAGTCATCTGTATAGAAGTGATTATTGAATCCATGAGAGTGAACAAAATTGTCAAAGCAGAGAGAGAATGTGTGTGTGTGCGCGTTTGTACATACACATCCTTATGTATATGAGAGATTGAGATTAAGAGCAGAGCCTGGAGGGAGATGAGGAAGGAAGAGGAACCAGCAAAGGACCCAAGAAGGAAAAGCCAGGTAGGTAGGAGGTTTGCTGAATCCCAGAGGCTTAGGTGGTTATTGGTGACTTCAGAGGGAGGAGTTTTAAGAGTGATAAGAGACTGAAGCTAGGTTGACGGAGATTGGAGACTGAGTTGATACTGAAGTAAAAGCTGCAAGCTTCTTCTGCTCTTTTGCTAAGCTTAGCTTTGAAGGGAAGGAGAGAGTTAAGCTGGTAGATTTTTTTAGAATGGAGGAACCAACAGAGAGCAAGACTGAAGATGAATAGAGTCAGGAATGATCAGCGGAGCGAGGCCCCAGGCAGAATGAGATCAGGGACCGCGATGCTGTCACTGACTTATCTGGGGGCAAGAAGTTCATCCCAACTCCTGAAAACAAAGGGAAGAAGGAAGGGAGAGTGAAGACATGTTCTGAGGCCTGAAGGAGGGGAGGTAACAGCCATCATCACAGTTCATATGATAGCGGCTAAACACAGACAGGTGCCCTTTTTTATTCTTTTCTCAGCCTTGGTATTTCATGACAGAATGGGGCCTAAATTTCTCTGCACTTGTGTTTAGGTTGTGTTTATTCTCCTCTTTGCATGAGATATATTCATATATCTACTCTATTACCATTACCTCTCTCTCTTTTTTTTTTTTTTTTTTTTTTTTTTTTTTTTTTTTTTTTT